GGGGGGGGGCCGTGCGGGTAGGCCTCTCGGTAGTAGACCTCACGTTAAACTGCAAACTGATAGTACTTCCGGCTGCATCCTGTATACGTGCCTTATTACAAATCTACGAGATAAGCGGAATTTACAACTTCGTAAAATTCATAGAATTGCGATGTTCAGGATGAAAGTATTGTTCGCCTATTCTTCTTTTTACATATGTTTACACATTTACTTTAACAAATCTTTTCATTCACGTATTTCACATGTTGGAAAATAAAATTATTCAAATCAAAACATACTCTTAAAATGATCATATCTTTAGTTTAATTGACGAAATAATTTGCAGATGGGACGACAAAGTTGGCGACTGTTACGCCGACATTTGTGACGCGTCCTTTAAATACGATTACGAGTATTTGGGAAATGTTCCGCGATTAGTGATAACGCCGTTAACCGACAGATGTTATATTACTCTAACGCAATCTTTACATCTTATAATGGGTGGAGCGCCTGCTGGTCCTGCAGGAACTGGGAAAACAGAAACCACGAAAGATTTAGGAAGAGCATTGGGCCAAATGGTTTATGTGTTCAATTGTTCCGAACAAATGGATTACAAAGTGAGATGAAGATTACTTTGCGAACGAGTTTTCATTTTATATAAAAATGATCTCATTACACGGGGTGAGGCGAGACGCGTGGCAGGGGGTGATTCTACATATAAAAATGAACCGAAAATAAAGAATAAAATATTGTTATTCGGAGTTTAGTTTTCGAGAAAATCGAATTTAAAGATTCTTTAGAAACTGTTGCTTCAGCTCACACTGTTACGTTGATAAAAAGCGGTAATGTCACATTTCGCAAAGAAACACATATACGTTTGTGACTATTGTAAATAGATTGTAAATATTGTAAATAGCATTTAAGTTTAAGTTTACATTTTTATATGTAGATAAACCTTATACTTCAACCTAATATTTCAACCTGAAAATATGCAGTTCTTACTTTTCATTTTGATTATGTTACGAGTGGCTCATATTTAGAACACCTTTCTAAAAATGAAGATTTTCCCTTTTATTTTAAATGTATAATTTGTAAGTTACATTGCCTTTGTTCAGCTTACTTTGATTTCGTATCAGATAGTAAACATGTTATTGATACACATACATTCAAGTGTTATACCTGAAAAGTCATCCACAGATTTGACAATAAATCCTGAACTAAAAGTGGTAACCCATATTTAGACCTTCTCCACTACTTATTACGTCATTGATATGATTACATCATCAGATAGTCAAGTGCACGCGTACTCAATAGATGTTCAAACTCGATTTTCTCAAAAACGAGACTTCAATTGAAAAAATTTAATTCTTTATCTACGCGTCCTACCTCACTCTGTATACACACATAAATAAGTATAACTGCGAAGTTTTAAATTGGTGCAGTAAATAATTTGTACGTTGTGGAATATCTAAAATGTCTTATTTTTCTCCCATGTTTATTTTAATTTACGAAATTATCTTGCTTCGTTAAATTTTCGATAGATCTTGAACGATCGTTCATTTTCCCATTTCGCATATTACATCCTTATTTTCTTTTTCTTCAGTCTTGTGGAAACATTTACAAAGGCCTTGCTCAAGTGGGCGCCTGGGGTTGTTTCGATGAATTTAATCGCATTTCCGTGGAAGTACTTTCAGTGGTTGCCGTACAGGTGAAGTCAGTTTTGGACGGCGTGAAAAGTCGTAAATCGACGTTTCTGTTCTTTGGGGACGAGCTTAATCTCGTTCCCACCGTTGGAATGTTCATTACTATGAATCCTGGATACGCTGGAAGGACGGAATTACCGGAAAATTTGAAAACGTTGTTTAGGTAAATTGAATTTACAATGAAGTAGTTTGGCAGTTGAGGTTACGCGTTAAAAGGAAAGGTTGCGCGCCCGTTGACAGACTTTTTCCGGACTGATTTTCGGCTGCTTTCCGACTGTTCTTGCATGTCGCGGGCACGCGCTTTTATCCTAGCCCAGCCCGAACGTTTCAGACATTTTTTCTAAACCCGGCATGTCCGGGCTAGGGTTTTTGCCTGCCTGGTCACGTTACGTTAGAATATTCTTGGAGCTAATGTTCACATAGACGTACAGACTTAAGCCTGCCGGCACGTGCCGATCAGCCGGTAAATATATCGAGAAGATTCGATTGTCCGTGTTCGCGATTTCTTTTATCATGCCTGCTTCCCACATTATTAATACGAAAGCGTTGCAGTACTTAGTAAGCAGGATTTGCATAATTATTTTTACTTCGTTTCAATGAGTAGTTACTAAATTATGCCGGTCACGCTCTTGTTAGACAGACTGCAGCTATAGTTGGATATCTGGATTGCATACTCTCACACACACTTTCACCAGCCACGCGCAGCCTAATAATAATTCCTTATCGTAAATCGTACGAAAGCAAATTAACGTCGGACTAATTGCTTTCGATGACTCTTAACACGTTCTGTACCATGTAGTTCGTATGTGAGTGACAGTGTTGTTTTGCTATGCACCGCGTCACTCATATACGAGTGACAGCGATTTTTTCTTTAGAGTCGCGTCGCTCATATACGGGGTGTTCAAACAGGTCGGGACTAAACTTATACTACGTGCTAACGAGGCCAAGTAAATGAACAAAATTCATGTGAACGTATGTCCGAAAATGCTTTATCGAAAAGTAAGGTTTACTACTGTTTCCAATACAGTAGAAATATTCGAAAGAGTTCGACGAATGGAAGCCTGCATTCTTGCAGAAGGAAGCAATTTCGAACGTTTACTATAACTGCCGTAACAATTGATAAAAACCATTGAACGCTTATAACTTTTCAACGAGGCATTTTCGGACATAGGTTTACGTGAACTTTTTATACCTACTCAACCTCGTTGACACGTAGTACAAGTTTTGCCCCGACCTTTTTGGCCACCCTGTGGCTCATACGAGGGCGAATTGAAAAGTTCGCGGTCTAAGTGGGAAGAACTGCTGCTAGGTGCTTGCAATTTTTACGGTGTAATCTGTGATCATTTGTGTACCGACGTACGAAGTTTCGTGGCTCTCTTTTACAGCTGGTGAAGTAGGACTGTTTACAGCGACGGAGAAGAGGCGAATAGAAGTGAGGAATGATCCAGTACCTGGTGACAGAGGACATCACCACAAGGACCTTGAATGATTTTCGCAAGAATTTCGAATAATTTTTGCAAGGTCCTTGAATGATCTTTGATGTGGGGTCCTTTATCTTCAGGCATTGGATCGCTGTTCGTTTACTAATTTTGTCCATCTCTACTCCATCTACTGCAAATACCTCTACTTCACTAGCTCTAAAAGGGAGGAAAATGACGACAGAGACATGAAACTGTACACATTAGTACACAATTAATTACATATTATTCGGTAAAAATTACAAGCACTTAGCTGCAATCCTTCATACTTAGGCCGTGAACTTTTCAATCCACCCTAGTATTTTCTAGGCCGTAGAGTAGTCTTTTATCACAGATAATATCGTTAGTTTAGATAATACATAATGTACTTATTGTTTCATAAATGTGTTTACTTCTTGAAAATAACTACAGTGCTTATTCTATATCGAGATTCAGTAAAAAGAACGCAATTTACATTCAAAGACTGTAACCTGATGACTGTTACAATTATAAGTATTCTAGTTATAAATGGGTAAAGAAAAAGAAAGAGAATAGGGAAATAAAAGTTATTGAGTGATGCGGTCCACGAAGCAAATGAATGACACTTTAGGTCCAGGCCGCTCACTTTTTAAAACGTGCTAAGTAAACGGAGAGCAATAAAAATTGTCATGCAAACTGAAAAAATTGTGATTTAAAGAAAAGAAAGGGGGTTTGGGTCGTTCTAAATGTTTGCTTAAAATGGTCTACAGTGGAGAATATGTTAAAGTACGTTCTCGCTAATAGACTGATATGAAATTACAGCTGTTACTTCAGAATATGTACATATTTAATAAGTAATTATATAAATGTTTAGCAGGTTTAATTTGTAAAATATTTGCATATATACAGTTACAGTTTCTTAAAATTTTTAGTTCCTAAATATGAATTACATATCCTGTTAGATATTACAATTTTTACAATATAATGAAATGCTAATCAAGTTAGGCTTTTTTCAATTTTTATAATGATTAAAGTATGAAAAGATTCGCCACAGTTATCATTATTTTGAAGGCCTTGTGCCATGGTAGTTCCAGACTTCGACTTAATTTGTGAAATAATGCTGGTAGCAGAGGGTTTCCAAGAAGCAAGGTTGCTGGCTAGAAAATTCATAACACTTTATCAGCTATGTCGAGAACTTCTATCAAAACAGGATCATTACGACTGGGGTTTACGAGCGATTAAATCAGTCCTGGTGGTTGCCGGGAAACTAAAACGAGGCGATCCTCAAAGAAATGAGGATCAGGTGTTAATGAGAGCTCTCAGAGACTTCAACATTCCAAAAATTGTGACAGACGATGTGCCTGTTTTTATGGGACTTATTGGTAAATTTATAATTATCCTCTAATATGTGTGAAATGAAACAAAAATATTAAATTAACAGTGCTTAATTTTTGTTTAAGCCTTTGCTGAATTACACTACCGGCCAAAAGTTTGGAATCACTTTGGAAGTGACGTGGTGTAAATGATTACTCGCGAAGCTGTTTAACAGAAATATATTTATTCAACCGATAATACTTAAACTAATTTTAAATGTAAGGCGATACGATGCCGTAGAAAGAAGGTCTACGACAAAAGGCCTCGTGCCTTTTTCGGGGCTCCCTTAACCCCTTGCGCTATTTTTACGAGTCTGACTCGTGATGAAAATTTCAGGCCAAACTTGAATATCACGAGTCAGACTCGTGGCTCGTAGCGCGACTATGTTGCAGTCAGTCGTAAGATATCGTATTTCAAATTTCGACAATCGGGCTCCGCCACTCGGCTCTCTTCGCAACCACTCAGGCGGACGGGTTTGGCCTGGCTTTTTCCGAGGTTCAGCGTAGTGCAAGGGATTAAGTAGCCCCTTTTCCCTGGGAAAGTCCCAGGAAGTGGGAGCGCGGGCCTACATTGCCGAGGCAATACTCTTGTCCTGGAGGACGAAGAAACTCGGAGATGTTTGGAAAAACATCTCTCGGTTCTTCGCCTCGAGGGCCAAGAGTCGCCAGGCCTAAGTGCGTGGACGAAGAAACTCGGAGATGTTTGGAAAAACATCTCTCGGTTCTTCGCCTCGAGGGCCAAGAGTTGCCAGGCCTAAGTGCGTGGGCCCCCTGTGGCGGTCGCCACATCACTGACAATTGCAATTTACACAAAAATTTCCAGAAAAATGTCAGCGACTTTGAGAATTTGTTATCATTCGAATCAATTGATATGAGGTAAATTGATAAAAGTAGAATTGAGATAAACTTCAAATCTATAAAAAATTAGCAGCAGGTTTAATATTGATGAAAAGTGGGAGGTGGTTCCAAACTTTTGGCCGGTAGTGTATTTCTCCTTTTATAATACTTTTACAAGATGCTATCCTAGTGAAGTAGAATTGAGATAAACTTCAAATCTATAAAAAATTAGCAGCAGATTTAATATTGATGAAAAGTGGGAGGTGGTTCCAAACTTTTGGCCGGTAGTGTATTTCTCCTTTTATAATACTTTTACTAGATGCTATCCTTGTATAGCAATTTTTATTGTACCCTTCTTGTAAATATTTTTACTTTGTGAACTGAACATATATTTTATTAATTGCTTTTTAACGATAGGTGTATAAACGTGTATGCAGAGTATATATTCTCTTTTTTTTTTTTTACTTTTTATTCACATTGTTACTTGATGCTTAAACAAACACTCGCCTAAATAGGTGATTTGTTTCCTGCTTTGGACGTACCGCGAAAAAGAGATTTGGATTTTGAACAAACAGTCAGACAGTCTGCTTTGGATTTGAAATTGCAACCAGAAGAGGGTTTTATATTAAAAGTGAGAATAAAAACATTATTATTTCACAAACTAGTCCACTGGAAAATAATACATTACCGTCGTTCAATGGATAATTATAATTATTTCATTTTCTTCAAATACTATACAGAGTGAATCGCATAACGCGACCATCTCTATTATTTTCGTTGTTAGTGGACCATTCTTTTTTGTCGACCTTCAATGACATTTTTCTGTCTTTTTTTAAACAAGTCTTCAAGGCCACCTTCGCCTTTTTTATGTATTATATAGGCCTATAAGTTATTTCCTATCAGCCAGCTATCGTTGAGACAAATTCAACGAACTTAGTGAAAAATATTAAATATAAGAAGAAACATAGAATAAAAATCTTTTATGTCGTCACCTTAAAGGCCCTTCAAAACCGTATCATCTATGACAGAAGAAAAAACAATCGATCTGTTCGCTAACAACGAAAACAATATAGAGGTAGCTACGTTGTGCAGTTCACCCTGTACATTCCTGGGAATATTTTACATTCCAGTACTGTAAACTATTTCATTCAAATGAAATATTAAATTAAATGAAATTATTCAGATTGTGCAACTAGAAGAGCTGCTTCATGTTCGTCATTCAGTTTTCATTGTCGGTTTTGCTGGAACAGGAAAGACCGAAGTTTGGAAAACACTGAATCGAACTTACATCAATCAACGATTAAAACCGTACTACAATGACTTGAACCCAAAAGCAGTGACTAATGATGAACTTTTTGGAATTATTAATCCAGCCACACGAGAATGGAAAGACGGGTTCGAATTCTTCCGCTATTACTCTATATCTTCTTTCAAAATATATTATTGGGAGATTTCAATTGGTTAGGTCGTCCAATAAGATCGTACCGTTTCTTGATGTGCCATTTAGATCAATATTTCAAACATACCTTTAAATGCTACGAAAAAATGTAGCACCGTCTCGTCCCACAATTTCTTCCCATTTTGTTTTTTTTGGCAAAGCCATTATGCCGTCACTGTAAAATTTCTTCGATATTTCAATGATATTTCTTATACAGGGTGCATCGTTAACTAGAAACGGAATATCTCGCGAGGAATTGAAGTTATGAAAAAAAGGGGAGATTAGGTAGTCTAAATAATTTTTCTGTAGGTGTAGTAGTGGGGGAGATATGAAGTTAATTTTTTTTTAAATGGAACGCTATATTTTTCAATTTCTAATACTGTAGCGTGTGTTGAGGCGAATTGCAACGAAGGTTTGATATTGTCAAATTTTCTGCCCACTACAAAATGATGTATTACATGAAATAGATGGTGATTTCATGGGGCAATGCCAGGAGAATATGGTGGATGTGATAAAATTTCGAATTTCATTTCCGTACGTTTCCGAAGTTTGTTCCGATTTAAGAGTCCTGGACGTTTCACTGCTATTGCTTCTCTTAACTTCTCTAACTGAACACAGTACACGTCTGTACACTTCTCGAAGGTAACTCGAAATACAAAACATATTGCGAAGAGCATAAACATATCGTGGCATAAACTTATTGGACGACGTAATACGTACACCCTTTGAAACAGTGTCACAATTTTTTGAAATTGGACCAAACGACTTGAGTTGTTTTTTAGAAGTTAGAAGGATTAGTTTACTAGATGACGTGTGAAAAAAAATTTTGAAAAATTCACTATCGTTAGATTATTTTCTGTGATAATGAGAGATCAAGCAAACATGCAAGGAAACGATCCGAAATGGATTATCTTTGACGGTGACATAGATCCAATGTGGATCGAATCGCTGAACACTGTCATGGACGACAACAAAGTACTGACGTTGGCTAGTAACGAAAGAATTGCTTTAACGGATCACATGAGGCTTCTCTTCGAGATTTCAAATCTTAGGTAACAATTCTTTCTCATTTGTTACTACCTTGTTTAATAATAGCGTGCAAAATGTTTCTAGAAGTAAATCTTACATTTTTATAATCTCTGTAATCTAAAATCTCACAGAAAGATTGTTGTAGAAAAAAATAAAGAGCGCAGTCCTCTTACTAGAAAGCCTGCCTACCATCTTCAGGTGCCTACTTAATTAACCCCTTGACTTATAACAACGAGTCAGACTGGTGACAGAGATTCTGGTCAAGATGTGAGAGAAATAGTTCTATTAGTAAGAAAAATAAAATTTAATCCTAACTTTCGTTTTAATTTGTAAGACTGAGGATTACTAAATGCAATTAATCTCTGATAGATCAGCTAAAACAGTAAATAGCTGACACTTAGATGTATAGTCAGAAAAAAAATCATAGGTCAAGGGGTTAATGGAGAAAAAATTTTCATAAGACAAACTTAAATAGTTTTGACTGATGAATTACGTGATTTATGAATTTATTTCAGAGGTGGAGAAGTTTCAGAAATATTTTAATGTAGTATACAGTAACCAGCATGAGATTGTTTTGAAGATTACAATCAGCCCAACGTTGTATTACCTTAATTTAGAGATATTGTGTTGAGGCAATTAAGTTACGGAGTTGAGCATGCTTTCTGATGAGAGGACTGCGAGGAGCAGCAGTGTAAATTTCTAACATATGTTTGAATATAAATTTCAGGACAGCAACACCTGCCACTGTTTCTAGAGCTGGAATCCTTTACATAAATCAACAAGATATCGGGTGGTATCCGTAAGTAAATATTTATTTACTATTGAGGTGGATGTAATTGTACTATACCCTATGCCGTTCGGTCATTGCCCATACGGGCAGCGTATTAGGCTTCTGCGGGCGTAAACAAATCAGAGAGCAACTAGCCACGCCTTCACAGGCGTGTACTATGTACTTAGAGCTCAGGAGTTTGGAGAAGGTATGCGGGTCTGATTGGGTCATATCCCTATAACCCCACCAAGCCCACCTTCTCTAACACAATCATAGAAATAGGGCACACGTATTATCATTATTGGCCGAATGCAATAACATAGACCAGGGGTCGGGAACCTTTCGGCTCCGGAGCCGAAGAGCCATTTCAACAAAATAACGTACAAAAAATCAAATTTAGGGAGCTGCAATTTTAATTTAAGTTTAAAATTTAAATTTAAGAATCGTGTCGAAACATTTACTTTACCGACGCATTATAGTTATTTTTTGGGGGGGTAATTGTCGGTTCTGTGGTGGCAACAGCAGATTTTTATTAAACATTTAAGAGTCGTAGTTTTTTCAGCAAAGAGCCGCAGATTCCCGACCCCTGACATAGACGAATCGAATTATATAGCACCGCGTAGTGGAAGATTCGGGAGGTGCGAGCGAAATGCTCCTCTTGCCCCTGTGTCGCCCCGGGGGCAAACTCCTGAGCTCCGTACAGTATGTACAATATATATGTATGTAAGCAGTAGTATGTATGTATGTCGTAACCATCGCTCGTCTTAAGAAGGAGAGTTATATGTAACACAATCGTCTTTCCCTCACTCCGCTTTAACCCTTTGATAGATAGGCTCCGTGCGTTTACATTCAGATTATCGCTCAGATAAAAAATTAAATTAAATTATTTCGTTTATTCAGATGAAAAATTTGCTTTTAGTTCGAAAAACAACATCGGTAACTAATGTAAGAGATATTACTATAGAAAATAATTTTACATGCATCATTTATATAATTTAAATATAAAAGTCTACATTATTTATTATTAAATATTTTATTACGCTACATACTAAAACTTTTCTCCAGAAAATTGACATTTCCTTCTTTATAAAGCAATTTATAGAAGCGTGCATATCAAATCGGCCCTGGCAGTCGCTGCATATGCCGCGTACAGTTTGTTCAATTTAAGAGTAACCTCGTTTCGCGCATGAGGCGTGCCTAACGCCAGGGCTAGAACGTCCAAACCCCCACTACGTTTTTCTCCGTCTTACCCTTTGCTACGCTCTCTGTCTACTGTTCCGGACGTGTTGCCTCATATACACGGTGACTTAATTAATTTCGAACATGCACGGCTAGCAACTGTTTTATAAAAATTGTTTTTCAATAGTTATATATCTGTCAATACACAAGTCAATCCAACTCGTCATTTCCTATAAAAAAGTATTAAGCTATTTTGCAGAAAAACTATTCGTTGAAGAGATATTTTCAATTTCAATATTTTACACTAAATATGACAATTTCTTAACATTTAATCAATATTCACAAACTACTGTTCATACCTTTTGCGTCACAGAATACACAGCATTATTTACTCTAGCAATTAAGATGATGCTAATGAGATTAGGTACTGTACAATATGTCTTTTAAGAATTTAAATGATTTTGAATCGTTCCCTAAATATTGATATTTCTATTTTGTCCGGCTAAATTCGTACAACTAGCCACTATTCGCCTGTCATAAACCGCTGCGTTAACATGCACACAGTAGGTGCGCATACTTTTAGACCACCGGGTAGATTCTCTCCGCTCTATGCACTGTTTACATTGTCGTCGCTCTTGAGCCAAGCCGAAATGGCGCTACGACCAATCGCATGCGTCACATCGGTAGGTAGTAGTGGGAACTGCGCAGAACGGACGAAAATCGGTCCGAGAGCGAGGTTACTCTTAAATTGAACGGACTAATGTATCTGACATCACTAGCCCGCGACTTCGCCCTCAGCTCTGCCCGCGGGCATCGGAGGGTGCCCTTGCCCGCCTGAAGACCTGCTGAATGTCACTGACCTACTACAATAAGTGCTTCTGCTAAATTAATAACTCATTTATAACGAATTTAGATTTGCAATCAGCTGGATAGAAACTAGAAACGCATCGGAGAGAGCAAATTTGATTATTTTATTCGACAAATACGTGCCAACTCTCATAGACGTGACAAAGAGTAGGTTCAAAAAAATTACGCCGTTACCAGAAATTTGTCATGTGGAAATGCTTTGCAAATTGCTGGATTACTTCTTGACTGAAGAAACTGTACCGCCAGAATGTCCAAAGGAATGGTATAAATGAAAATCCTACATTATACCTTTCAAAATGGTAATACTATTTACATAGCTAATTAATTGATCTATTATCACTTTCCCGATAAAGGTACGAACTGTATTTTGTATTTGCCTGTATATGGGCATTTGGATCTGCGACTTTTCAAGATCAATTAGTTGATTGGCGAAACGAGTTCAATAAGTGGTGGCAAAATGAATTTAAAACTATTAAGTTTCCAGCTGGTAGCAATATATTTAACCTTTTTATCGAAGACGAAACGAAAAAGTTATCCCCTTGGACCGAGATAGTGAAGCCCTTTGATTTGGACTATGATATTCCTCTTCAAGTTTGTTCACACGATTTTCCATTCCAATGAAATTATTTAGGCACAAGTTGAACAGTTGTAATGATATTGAATGGTAAAAGGAGAGATAAAAGTTAAGTTACAATGGCAGAGGTGCTCAAAATTTAAAAGTACCGCTCACGCAGTACTTTAATAAAATAAGTAGAGCTTAAAACGGTTACGTATTTGCTAACTTCGTGAAAACCCTGAAAACTTTGTTATTTAATATCTGGCAAAACATTTGAGATAGAAAATCAAACATTGTACACAGCTTAGTTTCCAAAAATGATTAATAAACATGTGACGAAAATTAAAAAAAAATTCAAACTGCAGATATACAGTTCAAATAACGTTAAATACCAAACCATTTCTTATTTCGGCAATGAAACGGTCCTAGACATGAAAACAATAGAGTTGGAACAATAAGTCCTAATTGTGCAATGTTCTTATTATAGCTGTCCGCCATTGTATGTATGTATGAACAGAATTTTTGGCAACAGGTTGGAGAAATTTTAGGAGGTGGTTCTAGACAATAATATAACCAAAAAATCGGAATAAATATACTAATTTCCCTTTCTCTGCGTTTTATAACATGTCTGTGGGAATTATTCTATCATTTCTGATAAGCATTGTAATTACTTGTTGCAGTCTACTTTAGTGCCAACCGGTGAAACAGCGCGTCTACACTTTTTCTTGGATGTTTTCATAAAGCAACACGTGCCTGTGATGTTGATAGGTGCACCAGGATCAGGAAAAAGCGTAATCATGGCTGAGAAACTAGCATCTCTCCCGGATAGTTACAATATCGCGAACGTACCTCTTAATTATTACACCACATCCGGTAATCAAAATTCAGTTATTTACACTAATCTCGATTATCTAATATTTTTAGAAGTTACACTTTTGTAGTTTGGATGCATTATACTATTCCTAAAAATCCAAACATGATATTACAATATTTGATTTTAACGTGTAACAATTCTCGTACGGCTATTCTATAATTATTAATTTTTTTCATTTCATAACAAAAATATATCGATATTAATAACACCTGCACGTATAAATACGCTTTCCTCGTTTTTTAAAATTTAATTATTACATGCATTTTTTATCTTAAATCATATTACATGCATATTACGTTAATATTACAAGCAGAAAAATTTATAAACGAAGACATTAAAGAATATTAAATGTTAAATGTACAATATATTATCCTTCAACTTTAAGCAACCAATCCTTCCTTTCAATTCATTTCATTATTTTTAATCCATAATTTTCGCCAACGTAACAAAATAAGAGGCTAATTAAACATTACTTGTTAAAGAAATGTTGCAAAGAATTATGGAGAAACATTTGGAAAAAAAAACCGGAAAAAATTATGGACCACCCGGTACGAAGAGGTTGATTTATTTCATCGATGACATAAACATGCCCGAAGTTGATACGTATGGAACTGTTCAACCCCATACACTTATTCGGCAGCATGTCGACTATAATCATTGGTATGGAAGTATTTGGATAAGTAACGACTGAATAGCTGGATAAATTTATTTAAACCTACGATATAAGACGTCTTTTGCTCGTAAGAAATAACAGTTTGGAAAAATTTAGGTACGATAGAACGAAATTAACGTTGAAAGAAATACACAGTACGCAATATGTATCCTGTATGAACCCTACTGCTGGAAGTTTCACGATTAATCCTCGCTTACAAAGACATTTCGCTGTCTTTGCGGTTAGGTAAGTAGAAACAGCTTACTTTTATTAATTTAACAGCTTCTTTAATTGTAAAACGAAATGAATACGACATAATTATATTACATTCGTTCTTTGCAATTTGGCGAAATATCGAATTTACGTCAGATTGTGGACCCGCGAAAATGCAACGCGCCAGATTGTTGATAATTAGTGTACACATAGTGTATTCCATGCAACTGGGACAAGCTATATCTTTAAAATGGTTAGAGATGGGAAAAGATGCCATGGAACAAAATTAAACGATGTCAAGTGATACATATTCTCGAGTTAAGTTTATGTATTTCTGTGCATTAGTGCATCAGAAAATTGCAATTGCACTGACTTTTTTAATGGAACCCCATATTTTTGGACATATTAAAGATACAGGGTGTCCCGTAAATGGTGGTATAAGCGAGCAGGGAGTGATTCTACGTGAAAAACTGAATCAAAAATGTAGAATAAAATTTTTCCATACGAGACTTTGTTTCCGAGAAAAATAAGATCGAAACTTTATCGAGTACGCGTGCTCTCGGCTTTACGTTTGTACTAATAAACGATACTAAAATTTTGTTATATTTTTTATTTATGTTAACCTCTATATTTCGTTTATATCAAGCAATAAAAGAATTGACCCGATATACTTTACCTACCAGATGTGCATATGGTAACTCTCCTCTTTTTTTTACGTGGGGGAAATCCTCATTGACACCCCGCCTCCCGGGGTAGGGAGACGGGATAGTGTCGGACTCTTACCGGCTAAAACTCCCACGTGGTCCTTCCTCGGCGTTGTGGAGTGGGCTCGGGATCTCGTGACGAACGCAACCGGACCCACCCCGCGCCAAGCTCCTCCCACAGATGTTCGCGGAGGGAGGGGCGCCGTCCCGGAGGGTGTCAAAGGGACCTCCTCTCCACCACCGAGGCGCCGCCGCGACCACACTTGGGGCATGCCCCGCCTCCAATTAAGGGGGTGGGGCTTCCCCGTGTGGGTCGTCACCTCCGCGGAACCCGGCAGGAGGATAACTCCTCCTCCTGGCCCGCGTACACGGGTACCTCGGGGTCGTAAAATCCCGTACCGCAGCCAACCCAACGGTCGACCGCGGCCCCTGAGGGAGGTAACTCTCCCCTACCCGAAGGTTATAATAAAAGTTTATTTATAATATAGCAATAGTTGTAAAATTATTTTATAATTTAATATAACTTTTTAATTTTTCGTAATAAGGAAATTTATTTTCCTTGCAGCTTTCCAACTGAAGAGAATTTAATATTGATCTACAGTCAAATGCTCGAGCAACATTTGGCGAATCCTTTGAACAAATTTAATGTGGCGTTGACAAAAATTTCCGAATCCTTATTAAGTGCAGCATTATACTGCCACAACAGACTCCTAGCAACATTTTTACCAACTGCGATCAAATTTCATTATGTATTTAATCTACGTGATCTTTCGAATGTCTTTCAAGTAAGATTATTCAGAGAATTCACGTTCACGTATCACAAATTTTCATGAAATTGCATAAATCTTTGCGTTTGTAATATAATGTCATTTTCACTATTCACTTATTCATTTTATTTGCGTGATCGCATGGTGTGAGATTTATTTACATTAAATGTCCTTGATTGAATACATAAAAAATGGATACGTTATATTATTTTATAGTTGAAATAATAACGAACAAATTGACCTGTGTAAAAAATAGTTAGAATCATAAAACAGTATGTTTGCAGTAAATTATACTTTTAGTTTTACCATGTATTTTTGGTCTATTTCAAAATGGTAGTAAAATATCTGAACGAACGCGTTGCTTTTAAGGGTATCCTTTTTGCAAACGGTGATGCAGTTCCAACGGCAAATCATTTGATACGATTGTACGTCCACGAAGCCACAAGAGTGTATTCCGATAAATTAATCAGTACTGATGATAAGAAAATGTTCCAACAGCTGTTGAACGAGGCGCTTCGTAAGAATATTTCTGTAAGTCTTGTATCGTATACAATGTGAATAGAATTGTTCGATAATTGAAAATTATGAATTAAACATTTCTTATCGTGTATAATCTTCCCGTTATATTTTTAATAGGAAATGGACGATAATGTTGTATTTTCTGAACCAATAATATACTGTCATTTCGCTGAGGGAATCGGTGAACCAAAGTATATGCCAATAAAAGATTGGCAACAATTGACAAAATTACTAGATGAAGCTTTGGTTAATTATAACGAACTGGTAATGACAATGTACACTACAAATAAATATACAAATAATATTCTTATTAAAAATTACAATAAGGAAATGCATTGATACTAATGACATAGCATCTTAAAATTACACCAGTGAAATATTTAATGGCAAATACAAGGGTGTTTACACAATTAGTTCTCAGCGTTTTTTCTCGTAAGTGATAGATTTGTGAGAAAAATAGAAGAGAACAAAGTTCCACTATTTTTTCGCGTAATGGCGATTATATGAATTTTTTCATATTATATGAAAGTGGTTGAAACGAATTCAACGACCTACAAGAAAAATTTGGAATTTTTGAAATTTTTTGAAATTTATAACGTATAACGTCTAACAATCTAATAATTTATGAATGATAGATAAAGTTATGCTAACTATTAGTAAGAATATTTTCTTTATATTTTGAATATGTATAATTACATATTTCGTTGAATAAAGTTAGGTATTTTATTAAGTAGACAAGCATTGTTTTGAATATAATTAAAGAAAATAACACTTCATACGTATTGCAATCTATTTTCTAATCGAATTGTCTTTCTCATTTTCAAGTAGGTTGCAGCGATGAACTTGGTTTTATTTGACGATGCTATGTACTATGTTTGTCAAATAAATCGCATTTTGGAATCACCAAGAGGAAATACACTGTTGGTAGGTGTTGGAGGAAGTGGAAAGCAGTCCCTTTCAAGCCTTGCGTCTTTCATCTCGACTTTAGAGGTACTTTTATGAAGAATTATTTGTAAAATTCCAAACATTGCGCTGCTTAACCCTTTGACTACTGTTGACGCCTAAAGGCGCTTAGAAAAATTGCTCTTATGATACTGTAGGCGTCTATAGGCGTTTCGAATTGCACAACTCTTTACTAGTTTATTAGATACATATATTGTGGAAAAAACCTTAAAGTTGATGTTAAATTTTTAGTATGTGCAATAACAATTCAATACAGAATACGATTAAATAAATATTGGTTTTTTTTCAGTGTTTTCATTATTTCAATATACTTTCTCAGAAATGCACGCCTTTTTTATTTCTTTTTATTTTTTACGTGGGGAAAATCCTCATGAACACCCCGCCTCCCGGGGGAGGGAGACGGGGTAGTGTTGGACTCTTACCGACTAAAATCCCCACGGTGGTCCTTCCTCGGCGTTGTGGACCCGCCCCTAGCCTGGCCCCTCCCTCGAAATGTTCGACCCGTGTCCACCTCCGAGGCGCCGGACGGTCCACACCGGCTACGCCACCACCGCGTGCCGCGTGCAATGGCCGCCGGGTCCTCTACCCGGCTAAGCCTGCGGCCTCGACGACCCACGCAAATACTTGAGGAATACCCCGCCCCCAATTAAGGAGGAGGGGTTTCCCCGCGTGGGCCGCCTCCTTCACTGGACCCGGCGGGAGGAGGGGGATGACTCCCCCTCTTCTCCCGGGCCCGTGTGCTTGGGATCGTCAATTCCCGTACCGCAGCAGATGGAAAACGTCGGCTGAGCCCCTGAGGGTAACCCGCCCACCGCCTTATTCGGCAGAAATGCACGTCTAACGAAAAATCTCGCCGTTCTCGGTGTAGGTTGCGACTGAAAACCTACCGTATGGCACGTCTCAAAGTCTGCCGTAGTCAAGGGGTTAAATCAATATAAAAAACTATCATCAAATGAGAAACATATAGATGTTCGTCATTTGACAAGTATACAATCCTAAATGGAATAGTTCTAGCGAAAAGTCATCTTCAGTTATATGAGCGTCCACAGTGTTGTTATATCAACATGTTTTGAGAAATGTTACTTTTTTGCATTTCTTTTTAGGTTTTTCAGATGCAATTACGAACAGGTTATTCAATAAACGACTTAAGAACCGATCTGGCTGGTTTGTACTTGAAGTCTGGATTGAAGGCAATTGGAATTACCTTCATGATGACTGATTCTCATGTTGCCGACGAAAGATTTTTGGTTCTTATAAATGATATGCTTGCTTTCGGTGAAATTTCGGAATTATTTGCCGACGATGAAATGGATAATATCGTCAATGGCGTAAGGAACGAGGTAATTTTTTATGTCAAGAAAAACACATCTCTAATTATTTCTCACCACATGAAAAATGTTAAACTAACTTCTCGAGATTTTGCCAAAGTTGTTTACCCCGGAGACAGGGGATGGAAGTACGCGTTTAACCCTCGGAGCACGAGTCGTAGTATCCGGTGTCCGGGTCTTTTCTGACCCACACGAATTTCTTACCAATAGGTACCTACTTATTTACATATTTACATATATAGCGTAGGTTCCGATTTCTTTCTTTCGTTTATCCGAGTTACTTTAAACTATACATTGAACTTTTCTAAATCCTTCTTTAAATGTAGAATGATTTAAACGTTGAAAATATGAAAGTTTGAGAAAAAACAGAGAAAATATTTTTCAAAGTATATGCTGGCAATTTTTCGTTCGCCGCATACATTTTTCTTTTCGAAGGATTAACGAAATATTATCTTGTTCAACGATCCGTTGTCGAAACGATCAACAACCGTAGAAGGTTCTGTATGTGCGTTATCGCTCCAAAGCCAATGGATCTCTAACGACCCGGACATAGGATTTCGTGGGTTAGAAATCTCGTGTTTGACGCGAGCCCGCAGTCAGCAAAATTTCTCGATCCTAAACGTTCATTTTATCAGCCACGGCACAGCGTAATTTTGTCCACGACAATATCGAAGTCCCGTATCCCAGGATAAATTCCTTACATGATTCGATCGAAAAATAAAGGAACAGTAAACAAATTAAGAAATAAATAAATGAATAAATTATCACAAAAATTCGTAACACCTAGTATAACGCGACGTGGTATTATTCGTGTTATACTTGTTGTATCGCAGGTGAAACAAGCCGGTATAATGGATACTAAAGAAAATTGTTGGAAATTTTTCATCGATCGAGTTCGAAGTCGATTGAAGTGCGTGCTTTGCTTTTCTCCCGTTGGAACAACTTTACGAAACAGAGCCAGACAATTTCCGGCAATTGTAAATAACACTTCGATCAACTGGTTCCAAAGCTGGCCACAGGAAGCCCTGAAATCTGTTTCTTCGAGATTTCTGGAAGTAAGACAATCTAGCACGTTTCTAACAAAGCTTCTGTTTTTAGTAAAACCTTATCGCAAATTGAAAGGGATATTGTACAGTGTTCCTCATTGTACCAAATTAACCTGTACATACAAATGTAAGTTCACTTCAAGTATCTAAAGCAGCGATTTTTAAATTCCTACTTGCTTTTTTTCCAAATAAAAAATATTCTTCTCTCTAATTAAATAAAATTAATTCAATTACCCCTTTAATTTTTTAATACCTCCTGTAGCTGTTGTGGTACGAGAAAATTTGTATGTATAATTTAAATGGTTTCAGAGTGTAAATAAAATGAAGAAAATTTTTCGTATAATTGCCATGCTTTTGTTATTTTCAAGATCATCTCTGTTTTTTTACATGAATGTACATATTTTTTTCTACTATATGTTACAGCAGATTTCATGTGCATTTAAACATGTATAATAAAACGACCTTAGACTCTAAAATTTTTAATCAAATGCGAAATTTCCTTTCATTTTTTGCTATTTCTTCCATCAAAAGAGTTTTCTACCACCTTATTCACCCTTTGAAACCATTTTACTACCGTTTACTGTCATAGTTAGAGAAGATAATTAGGTGACTTGGAAATTACGTATCCATCTGTCCACATTTTATAAGTGTCATTTTATTTGTTTATTGCTATACTGTATTATAGTATTGCTGTACTATTACATTATTGCCAACCAATTTGTTTAAATTTTTATTTTTATATAAGCTACAGCAATTCTTTCAAATATTAGTTGAATGAATTTGACGAGGATATTCAATTAATAATGCAACATTAAATCGATTTTGTTGTTTACATTTTGTTTTACCCTTAATTATTTTTATATTAGTGTTGATATATATTTTTTCTTTACATTTCACTGGGTCGTCAAATCCAATAATACAAATACTTATAAAACACCTTTTAACCCATATTTTACAATTACATATGTATTAATATATATTATTATTTCAATTTGTCAGAAACTTCTTTATTTAAATGATGTTGAATACATAATTAACAATAATTGCTAATTATTGCTTCTCCCGTTAAAATGTACAACTGCAATCAACCGTAATTTGTCTTCTCATGAACATAATCGAAAAAAATTGGGTAACAGGTAAAAATCGTGTTACAGAGCGTTAAACAAACTGTATGTAAATTCCTTCGGCATGCTACTTAAATGTAAAATTACAAATTTAAAAATTTCCTGTAGACCAATAGCATTATATTAACAATGTTTAATTAACCGAAAAACTCATGATTACCACGTGCTCAATTAACCAGTAAATTAACCCCACTTCCTTAACTACGAATATTCCACGCTCTACAATATTAATTGGACCTCCCATTTTCATTGTTACCAAACTGTTCTAACTAAAATAATTAACTAACGACATTCAAATATGTATGTTACACCATATAAACAACCTGCAAATTCAGTTATTTAAGAGAATTATTTTTTACGAATAAATTGAATCATGCTTTTTGCCGTTACTTCATCATCAATTATTAAAGTTGCTGTTCGCTAATTGTAGGAGCTGGAGGATCTTCCAAAGCAATACAAGAAATCAGCTTCTCTATTCATGTCATTCGTGCATACCAGCGTCAACGACATTTCGTCGCTTTATTTACAAAACGAGAGAAGATACAATTATACCACGCCAAAATCATTTTTAGAACAAATTTCACTGTATTCCAAGTTGCTCGTGGAGAGAACATACGACGTGAAAGCAATGATAGAGAGATTGAAAAACGGATTGGAGAAGTTAGAATCTTGCGCTGGCCAAGTAATGATTTCGTTCTTAATATTTGTATCGTTAATTAATCAAGTATACAAAGGATAATACTAAATTCTTAGGGAATTCCATACACGGTGTTTTAAAATCCAAACGCAGTTTTATTCGTTGCAGCAACTGTTTCCTACGATAAGCGTGTATTGTTTTATTCACAAAATACAAAAATGTTAATCAAATTAAACGTACACAGTGAATGGTAAAATTTTTTCACAACTTATTAATTATTCGTTATTAAAAGAAAATATACACTGAGATTGTAGGGTAATTCCGGGAGAGATGGACCGGCGGGAGAGACGGACCAGGCAAGTACTTCCTACATTATCCGCCAAATGTGGAACGCGTCAGTATTCTTTTGTTTTACATTTGTTTCACAAGTATTGTGTGCGGTTCGTGAGGCTCGATCAGACGATCGACCAACGCCGTACCTCGAGCTTCTGCTCTATACCGGCTTTCGAGAGATGTTGGTCTCTCTACTTTCTGGGAACCCTTGCCAGGAGAACGCGCGCTTCGGTGGAGTGCGCGCGACTTGGAAAAACCCTGCTCTCACCATTCGCATCACAGAGCAAGTTGGACCTACCCTTTCGGGACGCAGCTCACTTAGCCGACCCTCCAGGGTGCGGGCAGCCCGGAGCGTCGTTACCAGCGGGAGCCACGGGGAGGCGGAGCTGCGAGCATCCGCGCTTGGTCCCAGCAGGGTGGCCTTTCTGGCCGATTTGAACCTACTCCACCACGGCTCCAGTTTTGGGGCCGCCTACACTGGTGAACGTAGGTTAACATTTGTTTTACAGTTAGTGTCGTATCGAGCTTCTTGGAGCTGAACTCGCTCTGTTGCCTCAGACTGGGCCTATTACAACGGTGGTGGGGTAGCGTTTCTAACCACTGCGAAGAGTCACGCACGCAGGTATTTGATGCGGCGGTGCTTGGAAAAACCCCTCCTTCACCACTTGAGGATCACTAGGAGGGAAGACTGTCCCTTCCGGGAGGTGACTCGCTTCGCCGCTTTGACGGCGAATCATGGGCAAGCCCCTGATTCACCGGAAAAACGTTGCTCAGCGGGGACCACGAGGAGGTGGAGTCACCAGCTTGCGCTCAGCCTTGGATCTTATCCTGTATCGTAGCCTAAAAAAAAAAAAAGGGAGGCTGTGTTGCGATTGGAATCTGTTGTTGTCAGGGAGTTCCTGCGGGATGCACGCATATTATTGCAGAAGAGGAGATAGAGAGGGAGGGTGATGGAAAGGGTGAAAGAGACGTGTTTTACAGAAAGCGATCAAGCGTGGCTCTCAGTGTTTTTCGTTCCACATCTAGTGGATAATGTAGGAAATACTTGCCTGGTCCGTCTCTCCCGAAATTACCCTACAGTTGCGTATCTTATTGTAATTCATCACGTCACGATGTTTAGCTTGAAAATGTTCAAAATTAGTTGCATGTATTAAGAAATATTTGTACGGTTTGAAATATACACAACAATTGCAATTTTCTTATTTTACAATGCAGACGGCCGTTCATAAGTAATAAAGGACACCTATTGTATTCGTGTAGAAAGTATTATATGATTTAAATTACACTTCCCCGCCAATGTTGGGTGTCATATATTAGTAAAAATATACATATGTACTCGTCATACTTCGAGATTCTAGAATGAATAATTTCTTCTTAGAATCTCGATAATTTTGTAATGACTTTTGTATGTCAAATAATTTCATATTAGATACACTTGTAATAACAAGGAGGCTTGCTTTATATTCAGTAAACTGATTTTAGTAGATTCCAGTGGACGTCTGTAAAATTCAGTAGAGTTCAGTAGATTTTGGTAGATTCCCGCAGGTTTCAATAGATATTAGTGGAATACAGTAGATGTTGCCTCGCAAGAAATCGAACCTTCGGTTTGGCGGATTATCGTCATAAACTTGTTCAATTACACTTGGCCGCCAGACCGAGGTACCGGTCCTCTCGCGCGTACCGTACCCCCCGTGGAGAGGTCACGTGCGCGGTGGAAAGTCACGCGGCAACCCCTGGGAAAAACCCAAAAACGGGGGTTTTCTAATGTTAAGTAACAATCCCCTTCCCTTGGAAAGAGCTGCGTCCCACCTAAACAACCTCCTCCAATGAGGAGTCAGCACCTACAACCCCCAGAAGAAATCGGCCACCAATCAGCAACTGGCTGAGCGGATAAAACTAAGGGAACGAGGCAGAAGCGCGTCCTTTTTTGGAAGTCTTGGCAGTTGGTCTTACGAAAATTAATATTTTGATAGTCTCGTGGCGACATCACCTCAAGTATCACTCTGTTGCAAATAAAACTAGTTCTTAGCATTTCACACTGAATAAATCAAGGTGTGATTAAACTCGCGTACCGGTTCGGCAATTAAGCATCGAACGTTACACGACCCGAACAGTAGATTTTAGTAGATTTCGGTAGATTTCATTAGGTTTCACATTCAGTAGGTGTCCTAAAATGTCCTTATGAACGGGAGTGTAACATGTATCTAGAAAACTAAATACATAACAAACTACATGAAGTTTAAATTTTTGAATTTAGTAAATTCACATGATTGTTCAATTAATAGGTCAGCGAATTAAGAGTTGTGCTAGCAGCTCAAGAAATCGAATTGAATAAGAAGAATGAGATTGCAGACAAAATCCTTGCCGAGGTTCGAGCAGAAAATGCCAAAGCTGAAGCTGAAAAAACTATTGGTATAATATTGCATGTTATTTTATTAAAACGTTACTTTATCCACGAAATCAAATATGTTCACTCATTTTCTAATACTAAGTAATATTTAATTATAAGTGTACTGTTGAAATAGGCAAAAGAAATTCTCATTTAAACAATTCTTTACAACCTGTACACTATTTATATATACAGGGTGTCCTGATTCTTTTCGATGAAACTTTGTCAGTACGTTCTATGGGCATAAGTAAGAGAAAAATGTTATACAAACATAGGACCTTTGAAGCTTTATTAAAAAGATCTAATAATAATATTACTGCGAATGTGAGGTTATGTTATAAAATCAGAATTAATCAGCGATATGTACATCTACATAGTCTGTTTATGCAAACTGTGTTTACGATCTGAGATCGTTGAAGGTGTTGAATGTAATTTACGCCAGTGCCATTTTTGTCTTGTATCATAGTAAGCGCAAGTTCGTTACCATTCCCTCCGTATTTCGTATTTTTGTCATAACTTTTTAACGAAGCTTCGAACGACACCCTTTTAAGACACCCTGTATATTGAATTTAATTGTTAATCGTTCTTTTTAAAAAAATTACTATGTTCAGTTCAACTGTGTATGTTGATTTGGATTTTGATCGCATCGTATGTTCAACCGATCTCCAAACAATTGTTTAAGTAATAAAATATTCAATGATTGTTATAGTTGTGCACAACACATTCGAATGTGAAATTTTTCCTTTTAAGTTCGTAAACATTAAAGACAATTTATTTCTTCAACTAAAGTATGCACAAATTTAGCGAACAATATTTGTTTACAGTGTCTGAGGAAGAAGGAAAGGTAGCAGAGATAAAAGAAGTAGTAACAGAGAGACAAAAACGATGCGATGAGGATTTGGCGAAAGCAGAGCCAGCAGTTCGACAAGCTGAAGCTGCTCTTGACACACTGAATAAAGTAAAACGTTTCTTTCAATTGCGTAATGCATTCGATTTTATTACATACACTCGTGTCTAAGTGTTATAAAGAAAATTACACATACTGTAATAATTACGTATTCCTTTTCTGATTAATTTCAAAACATAATGCGGTGAATTGAAACAGAATACGTATAAAATTAGTTATTTTATTTTAATTTGACATTTTGTAAAAATACCGCGCAATAGTTTCTCGAGCTATTTTGTAAAAACTTCAACACTGAAATATTACAATGTTTCAATGTATATTAATAGTAAAAACCTTTTTCTAACGGAAAGAAGTAATTAATTTAACATCCAGTGTACCACATGTGATAAACTTAAATAGACAAATGAAATTACGAGGAAATTGAGGGCAAAAATAGTTTTCTAATTTATTCTGCTTCTTAATTCGTTCTGTACATTCTATGGGTTATTTAAATTGCAAGTACTGCGATAAAATAATTCAACTCTGGGCATTTTATAAAATTATTACTTAAATTTCAGAATAATTTAACTGAACTAAAATCCTTTGGAACACCACCCGAGCAAGTAGCGATGGTAGCACAAGCTGTTTTGGTATTATTCGCTCAGAGAGGTCAAATACCAAAAGACAGAAGTTGGAAAGCGTGCAAAGCAATGATGGGCAGCGTGGACACGTTTCTCTCGTCACTTCGAAATTACGACAAAGAAAACATTCACGCCGAAGTAGTGAAAGCTATTCTACCTTATATCAATAACAAAGGTTAACAAAAATTACATTTCACAATTAATATGTAATATTGTTTATATAACTGACAATTAGTACAATTGATCACGCGTACGCTAATTTCTGTTAACATAAATGTCACACGCCAGAGTTGTTTAACTTTTTGCTCACGAGCAAATTTCCCCTCCCGAGGTGCCCCCACTATGCGACTGAGATGATCACGCTCGAGTTACGGGGCGGGAGGAGGAGGACGCGAGGAGTCCTCCCACCACAACTCCAGCGACTGCCTTTCGTTTATGTTACCCAATCTGCGTGTTCGAACCAGTCATTTCGTACCAAAAAACTATCGCTGGAGTTATGGTGGGAGGACTCTTCGCGTCCTCCTCCCGCCGCGCCGTAACTCGAGCGAGACCATCTCAGTCGTATAGTGGGGGAACCTCGAGAGGGGAAATTTGCTCGTGAGCGAGAAGTTAAGCAGCTCTGGCATACGCCTAAGCGTTTCTATTCGTAGCATGAATTGCACTTCAAATCGTAGTTACCGATTTTTTTTTTTAACTCCTTATGTTTGTTAATTAATTCAAGAAACTGTAATGCCTGAAACTTTACTTTCCCATTTCAAACGATTTTTGAGAGATTCGAATGAAATTAACTTTTTAAGAATTTTGAAGTTCCAACTTAGAAATAATAACTATTGTTAATAGTAATTTTAGAGCGAAAGGAGTGCGTTGTTAGGATTCCTTCATCCTTTCAGACTCAGAATGTTCCCGACACCTATATTTATATAACGTTTTTTTCTTACTTATACCCTCGGAAGATACAGACAAAGTTTGATAAAAAAGAAAATTGGGCCACCCTGTATATTCCAATACGGTAATTCCTTTCACTCTACAATGGCTATAAATAAAGGTTATTAGTATTAAACGGAGTTTAAATATTATGAGAGAAACGGTTACGTCTCGCTTGATTTTATTAAAATTCTCGAAATTTCAACATTCAATATATTAAAAATCATTTTGAATGGGAGGCTAACATTTTACGCAGTGTATTTATTCGAGACGACTTGAAATACTTGATGACGATTGCAATACTTGTCCTATTTAACGTGGAAAGTCACTTATGGAAATTGCAATAATAATTATAAGTTATTACAGTACTCTAATCCCAATGCAATAATTAAAGCTTATAAAAAATATGAAGTGTATTTCCTTGATAATGGTATACGACGAGAAACTTAAAAAACCTTCATTCCCAATAATTAGTTTGCCAAACTAAAAATACCTAAGGTCATCCTTTCTCTTAACTGGATTTAGTTATGATAACTACCCAATGTATGGTGCAAAAGCACACATGGCCGTCGAAAAAAATAATAATTATGTTACATTTATAGATTTCGACCCAGAAATTATTCATTCGAAATCACAAGCGGCTGCAGGCCTCTGTAGCTGGGTGAGGAACATAATGGTTTTCCACCATATTAACGAGACTGTGAAACCATTACGAGCTGCCTTGGCACAAGCCAATGCTGAACTAAAAGCTGCTATGGACCACTTGAATGCCTTAAGGGCACGATTAACGGTAAATTTTTGTTAACCATTTTACCTCCAACGTAATGTATTACATATACAGGGTGGCCCGTAACTCTTCGAACATCCGGAAATAAGGGGTTGCTGGGGTGACTCTGAACAACTTTTTCCTTTTCCAAAATGTTGGTTGAAGCTTCGTTTTCGAATTATTAACGAAAAACACTGGCCAATCAGAGCGCGCGTAGAGCCCGCCCCCAAGCACGGGAGCGCAGGGACTCATCCGCGCGCGATCGTGAACAAGCGTACGCGTGACTTCTCGGTTATCGATCGCTGTCAAAAAAATTTGACTTTGGACCGCTATTTTTATAAGGCTTAGAGAAATGGTTTTTTGCCGTCATTCCGACGTTTGTATAAATTTTTGAAAAAACTGCAATTAGTCGGAATCTCGAAAAAAATAGCGAAGGTCGTTTTTACAACTTTTTTATCTGATCTCGTAATGATTGTACATATATGCTCGAAGTAATAAGCATGTATATGCATATACGAGAACTTTTTCTTTATTCTTAATCTATGGATATTTGCACGAAGAACCGAAATTTATTTTTTATTTTACTATAAACTACGGCCCACCATTTTTATAATATAAAAAAAAAGACAACAATAATCATCATTCGTTTTAATTAATAGGAGTTGCAAAAAGTTCTCGATGTCCTAGGAGAAAGAATGAATGCCGCTTTAAATGAAAAACAAAAATGTCAAGATGAAGCTGATGCTACTGCGTTAACCATTGACCTTGCAAATAGACTAGTAAATGGTTTAGCATCCGAAAAAATTCGATGGACCGAGACAGTTGGAACGTTAGCTATTAATCATTTTTCATTCTATGTTCTCGCGTAGAAATACGATATTAATTTATAGATATTCCAACTTGACATAAAATTATTTCTTATTGATATTTGTAAACTAACATGCTTAGAATCGCATCCATCTTTTGGCCTGAACTAATTAAATGGAATAAGAACGTAATCTGTCTTAAAGTATTAAAGAGAAATTCATATATCTAGATTGACGGATTCCTGCGTAACAGTACCTGGCGACATCCTGCTTGTAACAGCATTTTTGTCATATATGGGATGCTTTACGCGAAAATACAGATCCGATTTAATGATCGAAAATTGGTTACCATTTTTGGAAAACTTGGAAGTAAAAATACCAAGAACTTCTGATTTAGATATTTTATCGTTATTAACGGACGATGCACAAATTGCACAGTGGAACAACGAAGGTGATTACATTATAATATTAAAATTCCATCAAAGAAAAAGTATACGTCGATATAATATATTAATTTTTCTGAATAATCAATCGGAAACGAATTAGTCAATTTGTTATTTAATTTATGCACATGGGTGATACAATTTATTCTAACCTAATATAAACTTTAATGTACAAAGATTACTGTCTTTTATAATATACAGGGTGTCCGGTTGCATGTGGGAAGTACAGCAGGGGTAGATGTATCTAAACATATGCCCCATGCGACCTTGTTTTCGAGTTACAGTTTATATCAATTATTTATTGATCTATAAATACCTATTCGCATTAATTTCTAAATATATGTGTACATAGGGTGGACAACGTAACTTGATCACCTCAATTATTTTCGTTACTATTAACCAACACAAATTCTTTTTATTTTAAATAACTTTGTTTAGGGGGACCTATAGGCTGATTGCAGTTATATATGGTTTGTTGGTCATTTTTTTCAAAGTTATCAAGTTCACCTTTAGTTTTCTAACCCTTGTGTCAAAAACCGGATACCCTTTTGCACATTCTCACATAAAATATTTCATCTTCCCGGTAAAAGATTTTAATATCCATTTCCTATTCGTGTTTTCTTCAAGTTTAGAATTTTGTTATCAGAAAACTACTAAAATTGGACGATGAAGTAGACGACAATTGTGGTTATTGACATAAGGGTTAAATGGAACCCTGTAATTTTTTTTGCCCGCTAAAAAATTATAGGGTTCTATTTAAAAAACTACAGGTAACATTGGCTACAAAAC